GCCTGGTTCTCACATGACAAAAGCTGGCACTCAAGGGCTCTGAAATGAGCAGTTCACAGACACTTCTTTAATCCTTTTAAGTAAAAGATTAAGGGAGTTCCTCTAAACTCCCAAATCTGAAAGGGAACTGAGGCATAGAGAGTGAGATCCTGCTCCAGATCTCAGCAGCTGGTGCCAGGATACCAGGTTGTGTTTAGTTTTTGTTTTGTTTTCTCCTTGCAAAGATCTTGTGACAAAGTGGTGACTTAACTTGATTTTGATTTCAGCCAACCAGCATCCCATCCAGCTCCTCTAGCTTCGCCCTGCCAGGTATCAAAGAGGATAACAGCCTGCTCAACCAGGGTTTCCTACAGGCCAAACCGGAGAAGGTGGTGCCTGCCCAGAAGCCCCGGAGCCACATTCCAGCCCCTGCTCCTGTGAGTGTTTGCTGTAAACAGGTCCCTTTGCCCTTTTACCCCAGGGCCTGACCGTCCTAAATTCTTTTGGCTCTTTTTGTGATTGAATTAACTTTTATGATTCTTAGCCCAAATGCTACTTCCTATAGGAAGCCATTCCTCTTCTTACCTGGAGAGATGCTCCTAGCCCCATTTCCTTCCTGAGGCCTGCACTTAGCTGTCATTTGGTCATTATCTGTGTTAGGTTTGCTTAGTGCTCTGTTCCTGATGGCAGACCTGGGCCCTTGCTGGGCTGTTGTATCCTAGGGTCTTCATCTGTTAAAGCCCACAGATGTGAGGGGAGGCATGGCTTCCCCAGGTCCACCAAGGAAAATGGAGGGAGCAGAAGCTGGCTTCTAGAGGGAGGATCCTAGAAATGTCCCCACCCTTACTAGCCAGCACCACCACGGTATGTACAGAGCTAACCCTCTCACCTCCTTTCAGATGACCAACGCCTGGAAGATAGTGGCCTGCGGGGGCACCAAAGACCAGCTCTTCATGCAAGAGAAAGCCCGGCAGCTCCTGGGCCGCCTGAAGCCCAGCCACACATCTCGGACCCTCATTCTGTCCTGAAGGGCTTGGAGGGCACAAGCCTGCTCTCATGTTTACAGGGACTAGAGTGGGAGGTGAGGTGTACATTAAAGCCGCAGTCAAGTGACCATCTTCGGAAAGTCTTCTGCTGCCAGCCCCTCAGACTACTCAGGCGGCAGCAGACGGAACACACTATATCCTGTCCACAAGTCTAGCTTTGGGAAGTTCCTGGTGCTAACAGAACAAAGGCCGACTCCTGGGCCTGCCTGTCCTGTCCCCAATGCCATGAGAAGCCCTGTTAGGGTCTCCCAAGCTCTCCTTAAGCCTGGCCTCATATCAGACCCCTGCTTAGGATCAGGGACTTGGCTAGGGGCGCTCTTTTTCTTATCCCCCGTTGGTACATTGCCTCAATAATAAAATACCATTCTCCCTATTCAGCCATGACTGCCCTCTGGATCTTCCTTGAAGTGCCTCAGTGGCTTTCTCCTGATACGTAGGCATGTGGACCTTTGCCTAGTGGATATCTCTACAAAGGTTCCAAGAACTCAGGGTGGGGTGGAAGTTGGGGGCAGGTGAATGGAGTTAGGTTCTGAGAGATTGTTGGAATGATGGCTTTGTTTTAATACATTATGGCTGTACCTTAAACTCTGGCAGCCAATGTACGGAAGGCTGCCTATTCCTAGGACTCTATATCCTAAGGTTGTGGCACCAGTTGCCCAGGCAGTTGCCTCCTTTGGTTAGTTTCAGTGGGTGAGCAGCATGGCCCACTTAACTGGTGATCAGTCACAAGATTGAAAAGGAAAATGCTGGGCCTGATGTCTAGATCAGGAAGTGTTTTCAATAGCTTGCATGGGTGTCCTTGGGTTGGAGTTTGGATGAACCTGTATGAGACCTATACTTAGTCCTGGTTGTAAGGGAGACTTGAGTCAGATCCTCCCCAACAGGGCAAGAGATAACATCTGAAGACATGACCGAGCTAGCAATAGCACACCAGAGCTCAGACATTTTCCTGTTCTTACGCAAGGGACGACGGAGACAGGCTCTGCTCTTCCCACAGCATGTGTCTGAGCCCATGCTCAGCTAGGTTCTGTCACTGAGCTGCACCTGCCTTACCCTTGTGCTTGTTAGTAGTTTTCTCACAGCTGTGACCAAGAATTGACTTACAGAGGCGAGGAGCTACACTGGCTCATGGTCTGCTAGAGAAGTCATGGTGGTAGGAGTGAGGCCATCAGGACATAGATGAAGATTGCTAAGTGCCTACCCTGCTTTCTTTTCATACAGTCTTTGCTCTCCATGGGGTAGTGCCACCTGTCTTTAGGGTGGGTCTTTTAAACCTGGAACTTCTTCAGACACACCCAAATGTGTCTTCTGTCAGCCCAGTTGACAATGAATAGCTATCATAGCGTCTGCTTCTTCTTTCTTTGCCATAAAATTCTGTCTTGCTGGCTTGTTTCTAAAGGTTCCCACCAAGACTGTTGCTGCCTGGAAATTCAGATTCTTGGGTCTAAAGACTTTAGAAAGGAGCCCAGGCCCCAGGAAATTTTTGATTATGCCAGTGAGCTGGCCTAGGAGTCCCCAGGCTCCCTACCCAGTGTCCTTTCCTTTCTATGGTCTTGTTCCCAGGAAGAGCCAAACGGGGGATGGGAAGGCCTGTTACACTGCTCACTTGTGCCGGTGATCCAGCTGTGATGAGGTCTTGCGGCCTCCATCAGTTTGGTTCACCCAGAGTTGGTGTTTGCTAGGCTAATGTGAACTCGGTGCTAGAAGCAGGGAGTGAATATGGGAGTAGGGACTGTCTATCTGAAAGTTGGGCAAGGATGAGTCAGCAAGATCCAAATGGTGTCCTGTATATAACAGCCACGAGATGGAGATGAGACCCCGAGGCAAGTGAGGGTCCTCCGTTGAAGGAGGTGGACATTCCATCCAACACAGACTCCAGCTTAGGGGTGCCCTAAGGACACAGGCTTACCTTGTTAAAGCCCAGACCAGCTGGTCACAGGCTTTGAGGGAGCCATTGATCCAAATTTTAAACCACTAAGTTGGGGTAGTTTGATAGCAGAGCACACTCTCCCAACTTCATGTAGATTTCGCCAGTTTTTCTGTTTCTTTATTCAACCCAGGATGTCATGTTGCATTTAGCCTAAGTATCTAAACTTGATTATGAAAGACTTCAAGTTTGTATAAAAGGTCAAAGGTGTGTAGCACCTGGTAGTGTGTGTGCCTTTTGTCTCTGGGGAGAGGGGCAAATTTATGGGAACAGCTGAAGAGGCAAGGGTGATGTGGCCTGTGTCCAAGTTATGCTTAAAAACAAAGAACCCAGCACCAATATAAATGTCCATAAAAGGGTACAATGCTAGATTCAACTTCTAGGAGATGATGACCAGTTTATGTTACAACCAATACTAGACTAAATTTTATTCCTGGCCTTGTACAACTCTTCCCTTCACTGCCTTCCGCCTGGCTTCCCTTGTGGCAATCCTCTAGTTAGAACATTTAAATTTTTGTTAACTTTTTATTATTAGAATCTGGGGAGATGGCTCAGTGTTTAAGAACACTTGCTGTTTTCTTCCAGAGGGCACTGTAATTCCAGCTCCAGGGCACCTTCCAATATCTGGTATACACTCACATACATACACACAAGAATAAAAATCTCCAGGTTACTACTGGATGTGTTTGGGGGAGGGTCCCTGTGCACACGGAGGTTAGAATTGACCCAGAATTGATTCTCTTTCCTCCTTGGGTTCTGAAGACTAAACTTGGGTCAGCATCTTAAGAAATCTTTAGAGACATGGTTACTATGTAGCTGGCCTAGAATTAACCATATAGGCCAGTTGGCCTTGAACTTTGAAGTGAGCTTCTCTTGCTTCTGGGATCACAGGTGTCCTACCACTCCCAGCTTAGGAAGAAATCTCTTATTTTTAAACATAACTTGAATACAGTCCCCACCACCCTTACCTGTTGTTTCCATAAAGTTGTCCTCCCCAGAGACAAGATTCTGGGTGTGGGAAGTTTGGCAAGATTACTCATTGGGTAGACACTTCTACAAGCCAGGAGGTGGTGTCACGTGCCTTCAATCCCAGCAGTTGGGAGGCAGAGGCAAGTGGAGTTCAAGACCAGCTTTGTCTACAGAGTGAGGTCCAGGACAGCCAGGGCTACCCAAGGAAACATTGGGGGCTAGATGGACAAGAACAAAAAAATTAACCCTAAAATACCAAATAGCTTCTAGCTGCTCTTTTTTTGTTTTAACCAGATAGCACATTCACATGTATGCACAGGTAAAGAATGATGTCTTCCCTACTCCTTTCTATAAGAGGCAGTAGCTAGTTAAACCTCTGAGGATAGACTCCTGTTGTATCTATTGTATGCCATGCAAACACAAGCACAATAAAATGGCATAATATAATATGGATCAAGCTAGGTTTTCTTTTTTATCAGTTAAACTCAGGGATTGGTGATCTATATCCCACTGGCCAAATCCAGCCTGATGCTTGCTTGTGTAGAGTTTTTTTGGAACGTCAGATCACTTGCTTAGGTGTCTTTGTTTTCACGCTATAGAACCAAGTAGTTGCCAGAGAGACTGCAAGGTGGACCCAGCCTATCTATAAACTTCTGAACAAGCAGTGTCCAGCTTTCCACATCTGTACACGGTTTCTCTACCTGGTTCCCGTTTATAAAACTACAACACAATTTTCTTAGCAAGGCCCGCCTTACGGGTAAGTTGGTGCCACAGATAACACCTCACTGAATAACTTGGCATTCAGCCTCATTTTCTGCATGCGGCTGTGTGAGCAGATGTGGAATTACTTGACCAAGGCTGTGTGCATGGATCACCATCATAGCTACCTCTAAGGTGTTCCCCATGGAAGCTGACATTCTCACCTGTACTATAAACCCTACCTCCACCGCCAACTCCTAGGAATTTTGGAACAATCAGCATAGCTGGGCCAGTTACTTTGCAGGTGTTTTTGTTTTTGTTTTTGTTTTATTCTGATGAGATGCACTTGCATCCACGCATTTGAGAGTCCTCTTCTTGTGCTAGAAGTTTGCCCTCCTGGTCCTGGTCTGAGGATCTTCTGAGGGTTGGTCTCCTCCCCGTGACTCTTGTGTGTCACTCTCACAAACAAGTTTCTGGGGAACAAAACTCTTGAGGACAAACATTGGGTGACAGTTGGCGCCATCCACGTTCCATATGTCGGAGTTGGAAAGCCAAGGGACCTGTAGTGCGTCCTCGCTCTGCGGCTGTGGGAGACTAACTTGCAGAGGGCCCAAAGTGTCCTCTTCCTCCAGAGAGCTTCTGTTGACACAGGTAGCTTCATGTTCAGCCAGCTTTCTGATGGGCACCACGTGGCAGGCGTTGTATTTACAGCTGGCCATCTTTTTGGCTTTCTTGGGGTTCTTCTTCCGGCATGATGCCAGGTGGTACTGGAATCTGCTGAGTGGGATTCGGTGGTGAGGGTTATAAGGACAGATTTCTATGGATTCTGGCTCCATTTCGGGAGTTGACTCGAAGCCAGGTGTCTTGCTGCCCAAAGTATGAATGACACACCTCTCAAGGAAAAGCGCCTTTTTGTAGGAAAGATTGTACCGTCTTCTGCCAGGCTTTGCCTCTTGGGACTTTGGAGTGAAATTCTTACTCTTCAAGTTCTGTCAGCAACAGCTACCCAGAGGAAGCCAGCAAACGGCCACCAGAGAAGTTTAACTCAGGCAGATCCAAGAGCCCAAGACAGTAGCTTCCAGGGAGGTGAAGGTAGCAGGTTATAACGCTTTGACTCAAGCGACTAAGATACACTCTGTTGTCAAGGGACATGGTGGTTGGTCACAATGGGCTTCTTATGACATCAGGAAGACTGTTGGGGGTGTGGCTTTGGGGAAGGCTGTATTCAGATTTGTTATGTCATGGACTTGCATCTTCTGACTTTATTAGTGTAACTGAACCCCTTACACCCTTCAGTTTAAATTAGCTTGCTTTGTGCTGTCCTTCAAAAATATCGTCTTTACATGCATTTATTTGAAAAGGAATGGCATGTGGTGGTTCACTTGTGGAAGTCTGAAGAGACTTGGTTCTCTTCTTCCTCCATGTGGGTTCTGGGAAACAAATCCAGGTTATCAGGTTTAGTGGCAAGCACTTTCACCCAATGAGCCTTTTTTTTGAAGACAGGGTTTCTCTGTGTAGCCTTGGCTGGCCTGGACTTACTTTGTAGACCAGGCTGGCCTTGAATTCAAGATTTCCCCGTCCCTCCCTTCCAGAGCGTTGGGATCTCAGGTGTGCGCCAGCAGGCCTGGCTCCCAGTGATCCTTCTTGCTTGTCGTTTCTACCTTTTTATTTTTCTTTTTTTCTCTGTCCCTTTGCTTTCTCCATCCCCCCTCTCTTTTGAGGCAAGGTCTCATGTAGCTCAGGTGGCCTTGATCTTGATAAATGGCTGAGGATGACCTCCACCTTGGGTGCTGGGATTACAGATGCGTGCTGCCATATCCAGTTTGCATGGTGCTGGGACCTAACCCACAAATTTTTGCCGAGCAGTCTGTCAAATGAGCTACAACCTCAGTCCTTTGTTTAATTTTTTTTTTCTTTTTTTAAAGACAGGGTTTCTCTTGTAGTCCCGGCTGGCCTAGCCTTGTTTTGTAGACCAGACTGGCCTCAGACTCACAGAGATTCACCTGCCTCTGTCTTCCGAGTGCTGGGATTAAAGACATGCGCCACAACACCCAGTCCTTATTTTCTGCTGTCTTTGGTTCATTTTTCCTTCTTTCTTCATCTATCTCTCCATCTTCTATCTTATCTATCACCTATTATCATCTCTCTCTCCCTCCCTGCAGGTTGGTGCTGGGAATTGAACCAGGATCCTCTGGAAGAGCAACCAGTGCTCTTAACCACTGAGAATGCCCATTATTCTACCTTAGGCTCAGGTATTTGAACAATTGGTTCCCATTGGTGACACTATTTGGGGCATACCAGCTGGTTTTATGTCAACTTGACAGAAGCTAGAGTCACAAAGAAGGAGCCTCAATTGAGAAAATGCCTCTATTAAGATCCAACTGTAAGGCATTTTCTTAGTGATCAATGAGGGAAGGCCCAGCCCATTGTGGGTGGGGCCATCCCAGGTTGGTGGTCCTGGATTCTATAAGAAAGCAGGCTGAGCATCCATGGAAGGCAAGCCAGTATGGAACACTTCTCCATGCCTCCAGGATCTTGCCATGTTTGAGATCCTGTCCCGACTTTCTTCAATGCTGAGCAGTGCTGTGGAAATATAAGTTGAACAAACCCTTTCCTTCCCAACTTGCTTTTTGGTCATGGTTGTTGATTGAAATTAGATTTGTGTTCCTCTTTTTCCTACCCTTTATCCCCTGGTTTCACCCTCTAACACTAGATAGGAGGGAAACAAGGGTAGAGGGGAAAGAGGAATTAGGAAAATTCCCGAATCTTTGACTCTGGCTACTTACAAACCTCAACCAACTTTTCTAAACGACCAACAACCACCAGTCCAGCCTCTCGGGGCCCTCACGTTTATGTACCCTCTGAGAAGCTCCCAGAATGCCAAACGTCACACAGTCACAGAAGTTGTCTGCAGCTGGCAAAACCACAGTTCTGCTAGAACAAGAGGCAAACCATAGTTGTCTGCTGTGGACAGTCCGAAGCAGCCCCAAATCCTTATACCTGAATTAAAACAAATGCCACTACAGGTTTTGTGTGTTTTGTTGTTTGTTTTGAAGTCGTGCCTCATGTAACTCAGGCTGACCTCAAACTCAGTTGTAACTAAGAATGGTCTGAACTTCTAACTCTTCTGCCTCCTGCTTATTGTTATTATTATTATTATTATTAAATTGTGTATGTATTTGTATGTCACCATGTCCAATTTATGCAGTACTGCGAATGGAGTCCAGGATCTCCTGCATGCTAGTCCAGCTGAGCTACATCCCAGTCCCTGTAAGGGTTTTTGATCCTCTGACATTTTGCTCACCTTTCTGCTTTTAGGTTTACACCTAAAAATGAGCCTCAAGGCTGGAGCAATGGCTCAGTGGTTCAGGGAACTTTTCTACTTTTGCAGAGAATGCAAGTTTGGTTCCCAGCACTCATACCAGGCAGTTCACAGCTGCCTGTAATTCTTCTGGCCTCAACAAAGGCACTGCACTCTCATAAGCCTTGAGATTCTTACAGAATCTGAGTGTCAGTAGAAAGACCATATTCTTGAGTGGGCATATTCAAATCATAAGTACAGAAGTAAGTTATAGCCACTCTATATTAAGGCAAACACAAAATGCAATTCTAAATAATAGCTATGGGAGCTTTACTTTATGGGCTTGCTCTTGCTCTTCTTTTAGATCAAGTCTCTTATTTTTTTCCAAAAAAGGGGCAGGGCATGACTGTCTTCAAGGATCTATATTCCCAAAGTTGGGCATCAGTAAACTATGACCAAGGCCTGAATCCAGATCTGCTCTTGTAAACAAAGTGTGAAATCTTGAAACCTCGCCATACCTACTTGTTTACAAAGTATTTACTGGTTGCTATGACTTTATTTGAGTAGTTTTAACAGTCCAGATGCTTGCCAGCTGGCCGGTCATAGAGCTTGCCACCCTGGCTCTTGCTGAATTTTGTAATCATTATGTGAGTTCTTTCCCAATCCCTTATCAATAATGGCTCAGAAAGCAGACTAATTGCTCAGGTTTAAGTCCTCCTGCTCACCACTTAACTACTTTTGTGTCTTGGGCAAGGAACAGGCACACACATGTATACATAATGTATACATGATATACATGGTACCTGGAATTTTCTAATCTCTGTCAGTGATGATTTTTTTTTTTTTTTTTGTAAATTTAGTAGTTTTCTTTATGTTGGATTTTGTTATGGTTAATAGCAGCCATCTCTCGCTGCTTCCTGACTTCGGATATAATGTGACCAGAATCTACCTGTCACCATGATGGACTGTATCCCCTCAAACTGTGAACCAAAATAAACTCTTCTTCCCTTGAGTTGCTTTTGCCATGCACATTTGTTACAGCATGAGACAAGTAAGTAATGCAGACTTGCTATTTAAATTTAATATTCACTTGCTTTGTAGGTTTCTATTCCTTTATGAGCTATTTTTAAATGGTATCTAAGCCAGGTGGCAGTGGTGCACGCCTGTAACCCAGCACTCAGGGAGGCAGAGACAGGCGGATCTCTGTGAGTCGAGGCCTGCCTGGACCACAAAGTGAATCCAGGACAGCCATGGCTACACAGAGAAACCCTGTCTTGAAAAAAAAACAAAAAAAAGATTTAAATGGCATCTACCCATATCTCTCCACATCTTGGCCATAGTGTTCATCTCCTATAAGGTCTTGAAATCATTGGCTCTGTCTCCATTGCTAGAGCTGACATCCAATTGAGTGTGGTGGCCTGTTTTTTTTTTACCTCTTATGGAGGGAGGGCACAGCAACATGCCTTCCAATGGCCTCATAGACAGGGAGTGGAAACCCAGGCTGAGACACAGGAATCCAGAGAAGGTAGCTTTCACAGCCACTTTATTATCCATCAGGACAGGCAGGGTCGAGCTGTTAAGTTCAGATGTTTAAAGTCCTAAGGCAAAGCACCATGCTCTGTGCGTGGGATATGGCTTCAAGGGGAATGTACTTTTTGCAATCAAGAGGGCCTTAGGTTTATGAGGCTTCTGTAGCAGCTCATGCTTCCACCTAAAAAGAGAAGGGGCATGTGGTGAACCATGCACTAGCTGTGTGTGCGTGTGCGTGATGTATGCACATGTGTAAGCAGGAGGCATTGAGGTTTGCCCTATAATGCTCTGCCATATTCCTTCAAGAAAGATTTCTCAGTGAACCCAGAGCTAGGCTGGTACCCAGCCCGCCCCAGAGATCCAGTGCTAGACTTATAGGTGTGTGCATGGCCACTCTTGGCTTCCTACATAGGTGCGGCAGGGACGAACTCAGGTCCTCACGCTTGAACAAGTGTTCTTACCCACTGAACCATCCTCCTAGCAGGTGGTCTCGGCTTTTAAAGCTGCCACCAGAAAATGATAAATACCACTCCTACTGACCGTTTGCTGTTCAAACATACCAACTTTAGAGATCTAGGAGTTATTAAACTTCCAGGTACCAAGCCTGGAGAGAGAACAGAACCTTGCCCACAATCCCGAGGTCTTCCCTAGTCTCCTTGCTCCAGTACGCATCCTTTTCTCCTCACACAGAATGTACTCCCACCTCTGCTAGGGGATAAACCCAGGTCCTGGCTCAGACTGTGGGACTTCTTGAGATTGGGCAAGGCACACCTCAGGTGGAGTTCTAGAACTCCCTGTGAGCAGGGAAGTGAGGAAACAACCAGAGGAAAGTTCTGGTTTGCTCTGCTCAGACTGTGTCTCTGGTAAAATGTGACTTCCTGCCATTTATGTGATAGATGCCCATTTTTGTGGCGCCTGCAGCCTAGTTGAAGAGGGGCCACAGCACTAATCCTGTAGGGAATCAATGGATGCTTTGGCTCTTGCGCCACACAACCCAGAAGGTGC